ACAAAGTTTAGCTTTCACGCATGGGAAAGTTGCGCCACATTCAGACCTATGTGGACTATCAGCAGGTCCTTTATAAACTGTGAAAGAAGGTTTAAAGATTGCTTAGAAAGGCCACATGTTTCGGTCACATGCATAACTCTTTCAAGAAGAAAATAACTTTCTGAGACGTATTTATTAAATAAGTTAGAATGGTGGCCTTCCTTCATAAGGCTGTACAGGGCCCACTTCATTTCTATAGAGAAACCTCTTAGACATCTTTAGGACTGCAAAAGTTAATTGTTAAAGCAAGGGTGAAATTAGGTTTTGTTTGTGAGAGAGAATGAATTAAAACAGACTGCTGGTGAGCTGGGAATAACTAGGCACCTGGATGGGAGAAGGCAGGAGAGAGTTTGACTTCAAGAGATCAAATACAGATCTATACACTCTTACAAAGAAGCAGCAATATGTTGCCCTATCAAACGGAGGAAAAGTCCTTGTCATCAGGATGAACACAGGAAACTGTTTTCCAGAAGGGAAACAGACTATTATTAACATGAAGCAATTTACCAGGTCAAGATGCAAACAATTCTGAGCTTGTAATAACCTCTTTCCTATTTTTCCCCCAAGATTTCTAGGTAGTACTCTTACAAACGCATCAGCCCTTATGTTTTCCACACTTGCCATTTCAGTTTTGAACGAGCTGAGGGTTGTCACACCAACAAGCAATTTATACTTTCTTTGGTCCTAGTGCTGGCTGTAGCACAAATGACTGAATCTCATGTTGCAACAAAACACTCTTGACCTCAGTATAAATGAGCGCTGCGCTCTGTGTCATCACAGCTGATGTCAGCTGTTTGTACCTTAAATATTTTCACCAGCATGCTCCTCAGTTTGTTTCCATTTGAATGTCAGAAATCAGTTACTTAGTTGTTTTCCACAGCTCGCTTTGTTTCTGTCCCGATTAAAATAGCTGACAGCAACAGAAAGGAATGAAAATTTGTCTCTGTTCACAAGGTCAATGCAAAGCCTTTGCCTCTGCTCAGATCTTCCAAACCAGAGGAGACGACAGAGAATGCATTTGATTTCTAGTTCATTAGTGCTACCCCTCTGCATCAAGTGATTTCAGTCTTCTTCCTTGCTTTTTTTGTGGGCTTCCCCCCCCCCCCCCCCAAAGTCATCATACTTTCCATGCCAACATTTTTCACAACCTACCAAAATCTTTGTTATTTTGTATACATAATTAAGCAAACAAAAAAAGCCTTTCACTACTACTACTGCCTCTGAGATGAGGAGCTGGGATATGATTTGATGCTAGAAAAAAGCAAACGCAAACCAAAACCAGTTGTCTCCTGGGGTTTTCTTAGCTTTTAGCTCATCATAAACATTTTGTCTGGTCTTAGAAACTGTGTCTAAAACAGACTGCATCAGGGTCAGCTGCATGAAACTAAGATACAGCGTTTGCTAAGATAGGAAGATTGTACGCTGCTTCTCTGTGTAAAATGATGTTTCTCAAGGCTTGGAAAACAAGCCTGCAACAATGAGGCAGTAAGAGTGGGGAAAAAAGAATGAAAACTGCTTATTGGGAAAACCTTCTCTCTGGTAGTGTTTTATTCACACTGACTGAATGATTACATGATAGAAAATAACCCTCACATACCTGAATAAGGAGAACAAAACTTTGCTGTACTAATAACTGAACACTTGAGAGTACATGTTACAAATAAAAAAAAAAAAAAAAAGAAGAAAGGTTTCATGTGTAACCAATGTATTTCTAGAAAATTAGATTTCTTTTTCTTTTCTAACATTCATTAATTTGGGTAATAAAGATGAAAAGAGTCTGTTCAGAAAAAGCAAGAGACATTTCCAAAACAGCACTCACACAAAGAAAGTTTTCTACTTCTATTTTGCCTTAATAACTATTTTCTGTAGGGGATATCAAACATTTTTGCAGGAAGCTGTTTTATTCCCATGGGACTGACTTAAAAAACCAATTTATGTATTGTACGCAGGAAAGATTTGTGAGTAGAAAGAGATATAAGGAAAGAAATGCTTAAGAAACAGTAATGAAGGTAAAGGTATTTGATCTATTCAGCAGTTATAGAGAAGATTAATCATCACGTTTCAAACTCCAAGCACATGTGAAATATCTGATGTTTTATTTTCAAGTAATGTTCTTACCTAGAGCTTTCCTCCATAAATCCTGAGAGGATTTTACAATGGAGTAAAAAAATACTACTAAAATAACTAGTTTTATATATGGAGATGAAGCAGCAGACTTAAAGTTGCCTTATCCTGATTTATAGATGGGAACTTTTTTTGTCTCCTGAGATGAGGCAGCAAGCTTGAGGCTGTCTGGCAGTCAAGACTCAGGAAGGGGATCTAGATTTCCAGCACTCTGAATAAAGTCACAGATACATTATCTGACCCAACCTATGGCTCTCCCTGTCCCGACACCATCTTCTCCACCTCTGTAGTTGATCTCTCCTCACTTCAGGATTCATACTTTTGATTTTCTGTTTTTTGTCGCTGGATTTTATTTCTGACCATCTATTGTTTCACGTCAACCCGAAAGTAACTGTGTTTGTGAGTACTGTTAAGGTTTTACACCTTTTTTCTCTTTTGTTTAGGGTTTTTTTAAGTAGTGCAAAGAGCCTTCTGATCTGTGTGTCACACTGCCAAGCATGCGTTACATTGAATAGGCTGGTTTCACTGCACACATTCCAGATGCAGAAGACTGAAGCATCCCTGCTCTGCCCGAACCAAACAGGAGGTTTCATTTCAGTAATGGAGAGAAGAGTTTATTTCGGGTTTCATATGCTGAGGGCAAGAAATCTCATGACATTTCCTTCCTGGAAATTAATACAACTTCTAGAAATGCCAAAATGTTGTTGTGCTCAGGTGCAGAATCAAACCAAAGTCAGTGGGCCCGTTCACATACTCAAAATTATCAGTCATTTACCTGCTTGGAAGACTGGGCCCATATTTTTTAAGTGATCTGTCAAAATCTGTCTCTTCATTCACCTGTACTTAACAGAAGGAAATCCTTTACAGGAAAACTCCTCAAACATGCTGGAGTCTTACAGAAAAAAACTATTTGGATGTCAAGTTTGCGACTGAATGGGCTGTGGAACATTGTAAGGTCACCACAGTGTGGCTCATTGAGATTACTCATGAAAGACCAGCGAGTTCTGCAGCCATCGCCACATCTGGGTGTGCAGTACTGATATACTTGTTTGCAGTGATGCCTAGTAGTTGACCTCGATGTCTTCTAGTCTGTCAAGACAGAGATTAGTAGCATTGAACCCAGTATAACAAGACTGCTTATGCTGTCTGGCCTATAAATAACTCCAGCAATTAATTAAATCTCTTACTTTAAAAAGAACAAAAACACGTGAGTGAGGATAGAAACCCCCAGAACAAATGAAAATTATCCTGTTGACCTAAAAGTCAATCCTATCCTAAAAGTTGCAGTGACTTTTAGAAAATGCATTATTTTTTCTGATTTTGTTACTCACTGGTACTAAACTTACATGCTTTCAACCTATCTGCATTCTTCTCAGAGGCCTAATTAAAAGCATCTATGCGAGGTGTAGGCACATCTCACTGTAAGAATGCATGCTCTCATTAATGAAATGCTGCTGATCATGCCATTCCTCTCACAGCACTTTGTTCCTTTCATCTGCAGTCAAAATACCATTCTCTTCTAAGGAAAACTGTGAACTGGAGTCTCCCTGTTCTTCTGGGAAGTTGATCTCCTCTTACTGAAAGGATGGCAATGACTACAGAAATGGGACTCCTGATGTGAATAACTGTATTGGTGCTCTCAATGTATGACAAGTTGTCACTTCAATAGAGCAACACTGTCATTTTGTTACTGACTAAAAGCACAGCAACATGATTAAGTCAAACCTAATTCAGTTATTGAAATGTTATCCAAAAAAGTTAAGCTTCTGACTTCTCCAGAAGTTTTACTTAATCAATGGCTGCAATTGGTACCCATTAAAAACTTAGGTATTCAGTGTGAAAGGCTGTGTGCTGTTAAATTGCCACTTTAAATGCAAAAAATGCAACTTCATTCTTTCATATGAAAGCATGGCAAGAGATCCCATGTAAATTTTGGGTTTATTGTATAATTTGGAAATGCAGACAAAAAAATGTGCGAGTACCTCACGTGTATGTGCATGGGGAGACTACTCAAGGAGAACAGGCTTGGCAGGAAGCTACTTTTTCAATGGCTCTAATCCCTGGTTTTGGATGAAAAGAATCACCGTTTAAGCACAAAAGCCTGGATGTCACTGACGTTTTCAGAAAATCAGAAATTCGGTTTTGGTCTGAATGAGGGCATTTGAGATAACTGGTTTGAAGCTTAGGGTGTTTCCCAACCGTTGTGCCTCGTGAACTGCGACAAATATCACCTTATCATAGCCAAGCTAAACACGTACCTCGCAGTCAGCGACTCCCGGCCATTTAACTGCCCGTCTCAGGGCCCTGAGAGAGCGCACGGGAAGTGGGAAGCGGGAGGCAGCGGCGAGAAACGAGCGCACTCACCACCTCAGCTCAACTGTCACCCCCCACCCACCACCGCTAACCCTTGGCTCCCGCTCCATGTGCTAGCCCGGCGCCAACAACCTCACTTCCGGCCGGCGGTGTGGGTGGGGGGGGTGGGGGGGGTGGGTGTGTGTGTGTGGGGGGGTGTGTGTGTGTGGGGGTGTGTGTGTGTGGGGTGTGTGTGTGTGTGTGTGTGTGTGTGTGTGTGTGTGTGTGTGTGTGTGTGTGTGTGTGTGTGTGTGTGTGTGTGTGTGTGTGTGTGTGTGTGTGTGTGTGTGAGAGAGGGTGAGACTGGGTAACTGCTGCCGCGCATGCGCTTTGGCGCCTCTCCCTGGCAAGGCGGCTCCGGCCGGCGCTGTGCTCCTCCCCGTGTCCCGGGGCTGTGGCGGGGCTCTGCCCGCCCCATCCCTCGCGCTGGGTCGTTCCTCCCGTTGCTTCCTTCTCCTTTCCTTTCCTCTTCTTTTTCTTCCTCCTCCTCCTGCTTGTGCGGCCGCTGCGGGAGCGGGCGCAGCGAGCGGGTGAGGGGAAGCTGGGCGGGGGCCGCGGCCGGCATGTGAGCCGGGGCTGCCCCCACCCCGGCCTCCTTTGGGCAGCGGCCGCCCCTCGCTTCAGGCGCGCCGCCTCCCTCCCGCCCGAGCGGCTTCTTCCTCGGCTGCCCCGCGCCCGTCCCGCGGGCCCGGCGGGCCTCCCTCGCCATGAAGAAGTTTTCTCGGATGCCCAAGCCCGACGGGAGCGGCGGGACAGCGGGTGTGGGCTCTGGCGGAGGCGGCGGTGGGGCGAGCGGCGTCGCCTTAGGCAAGGTGTTGGCCGTCGGGCGCTACCAGGTCACTCCAGAGGAGCTGCTGGCGGAAGGTAGCGGGGGGAGGGGAAGGGGGTGAGGGGAGGTCTGGGGCCGTGCGCGGTGTCCCCGGGACGAGAAAGGGAGCTGTGCGGGCTGAGCTCGGCTGTGGGGCCACGCGGGGGCCGCGGCCCCGCCCCCCTTCCTGAAGAGCCGCTTACCCGCTGTAAGCCGGTTAGGGGTGCTTTGGTGGTTCTTTCTTGTTTCGGCTGGTGCCTGGGGCTCATTGGTGGTTTAGAGTGGAGTGTCCCGGCATATTATGGCGAGTCAACCGGTCGGAGATGTCCGGGGAGCGGGCGGGTCGTTCTCTGGGTCGGATGAAGCAGCTGAGGTCGGGGACGGCGCTCCCGGGCACTGGTGCCTCCGGTGGGGAGCAGTAATTCCGTGGTAGGGGCTTGCAGCTAATCTGAAGAGACAAAAAAAAAAAAAAAACAAAAAACAAAAACGATCAGAACAAACAAGCAGAAAACAAACCTCATGGTCTTTCTTGTAGGAGTGCAGTAGGTTTCTGGGAGGGTGAAGAGTGAAGTAGTGCGCACAACTTCTGCTGTCGGGTATTGCTGGCCTCCCTCCTCCTTGTTGCAGGGCGCCTGACTGCTAATTCTTGTCGTTAGCTTGCACTTCATGGCCTTGGACCTCTATTGGATATTCCAAAAGAGTTGTATGAATTCAGATAGTCGTGTAGCTCGCTGGAATTTGTTAGTTGGGTGACTTCAATAGGCTCTGGCGTGGGCCATCGTCAGAATAGTCATGTTTGAATTTTACTCTGTGTGCGTGTGTGTGGGGAAGCATTCCACCCTTGGTATCTCCTAGTCGGTGCCAGCCCATGTTGTAACGTGTAAAGTGTAACTCACTGCCTATGTCACTGAGCACAGGGTAGTCCTGCATACTTCGTAGTGGATGAATTCTGCAGCACTACAACACATAGCTTTGGATGTTGTCGGTAAAATAGCTAATTTTTACCTTTTTTATGTCTGTGCATTGCTTAGAGTAGTTTATCCATAAATGTACTTCTAAACTTTCATTGCTTAGTCACATTCCTCAACAAATATTTAAGATCCAGTTTTAACAAGTACATGCAAATACTATTATTGTTTAAAATAGAAACGTATTGGTACTACTTAAATTGTCATTGCTATCTGGAAAATGTTTTAGTAGAATTCTGAATTGGTACTTAATATTTAGATTGCTGTATTTTGTCTTTGGCTTACAGAAATGAGGTCAGAGCTTAGCCAGCTGCTTACCTGCTTGCCTAAAAGATGAGTAGTCTTTGCTGACAGCTTCTTCAGAGTCGTTGTGATCTGACAGAAGGTCATTCCTCTGCAGGGCTGGTCACAGGATAGAGACTTGTGAAATGGAAATAAGCTCCTGATCAAATGGAGGAGGTAACGCAAAAACAATGTATGTAGTGGAAAGGAGAAAAAAATGCACAGTGCTTGGTTCAATTGAGCATATTATTGTTTTCTTAAAATGTGTTAAGATACTGATATTGATATAGATAACTGAGTGGGTTTTTTTGTTTGATTGGGGTTTTGTTTTTCTTCTTTCTGTAGCTTGCAGAAACAAATTCATAGCCCAGAAAGGCCTGGGAGCAGGGGGGAGTATGAATTTTAGCAGAGAGTGTTGTGCCAGTTGGCTTCCGTACTTTGGAGTATGGAAAACTTAGAAGGTTTTTTGCAGCTCTTATATGGTCTCTTAAATATGAATGCCTCAGACCAGGACTGATAGGAATTGGGGCAGTGTAAATCTGCTGCAGCTTGGGACAGGTCTTTAAAGATGACTACAGAGCTGTTGGGTAGGGATGACCTGAAAGGGCCTAGAGGAATAGAAAAGAGCAGGTAGTAGAGCTGCATGTTTGAAGTGGTTGGGGAGTGAGGGAGCCAGGGGCCGATTCTCTTGCAGCTCTGTGACTGTAGTGTGCTTGGGGAGCTGACATGTGCCCCATGGGGGTAATGGGAGGGTCATGGTGATGAAGGGCTCATGTGGTGCTTTGGTACTTACAACTGACCACAGTAGCGCGTGAAAGAGAGTTGCTTTATATCTAGGGATTACTTCTCAACAGTCAGTTTTTCCCTTGACTTAGTGACACCTAATAGTAAGTAATTGGATGTTATTGAAGTTATAGTAGTCATATTGAAATGTGTTATTAATATTTAACACTTCAGAAATCCTCTGCTTGATACTCTTCCTCTTTGTGGGGAAGGGAGGAACAAACTGTGTTAAACCTAGTCCCTTTGCATAAGGCATTTTTTTTCCTTCCTTTTCTGAAACTCAGTTTTACTGAGGGTCTTAGGCTTGTCATGTAGTTCCTGTTACTGCAAGAGGCTCATATCAGTTTTATGTTGTGTCACAAAATGTTATTAATGAGTTAATGAATATAATGAACATAAGCCTATTTCAGAATGGATGTAGAATGTTCTCTCAGCAGTGCTGTGGTATTGATAGACCTTTTTACTAGCTATAAGAATTAGCAGCATTATGTGTCTGTCAGATTCAAATGGTTTAAAGAACCACCTCCCTCCCCTTCAGAAGTTTGCCTTAGGAAGCTAGCTCTTGATTTTACATCTATTTTGCATAATTGTTTATAATGCTCTCTAAATCAACTGCATCCTTTTGTAGTAAAGCAAGTATAAGGGTTCAAGTGCTGTAGTTAGTAGGCTGTTAGATGGTTTAATCTGTTTTAAATGCATCTCTTCTCTGGTGACTTCTTAACCTTTGTAACCTGATGGTTAGTATGTTGTTGGATGGAGGTATTTGTTTATAAGGTTTATTTTGCAGAGGTGGGAAAAAAACCCAGTTGGTTTTGGTTAAGGCTTGAAAATGAGCTCCAGTCCATTTGGAGGGGATTGTAGAAGTATGTGGAATAAATGACTGCAGGTGGAATTAAGGCCTTCTCTTTGTATCTTGTTGTTGAGCAAAAGTATGTGCAATGCCTCTGAAATTTGGGAAATTCAGTCTGATAAAAAATGTGGAGTATTCTGTTTTGAAAGTTACAGTTAGTGCATGGGGAACTGTAGTTATGGTGAGTCTAATATTGAAAAAAGACTTTCTAGTTTACATTTTGTGCTAAATGGCTTATGTGGCTAGCAGGTAGTTATAAACTTAGTGGGCCAGTGCTACTGGACTTGGAGCCATCTTTGGCAAAGAATCTTGAAGTAAAGGGAGTAGTGTCCTAGGAACAAGCATGAGGGTTTTTTTTTTTTTTTCCACTGTTGATTTGCTTTTTTTGGTCACGTCTTAGGAATGCTATGGCTGTGGGTGAGCTTTACTGAGTTGGATTTCACAGGATTATCAAATAATTACTGTTTGCTTATGTTATAAGTGCTAACCCTAGCTATAGATAAGGAATAGCCTCATGTGCTGTCAATATAGCACAAGAGGTTGATGCTTATGCCCCCAGAAAGCTTTATGTTTGGGGAAGGACTAGCTTGGCTGCATTTGGTGGAAGCAGAACTCTCCTGTCATTAAATCTGTGCTATTGCATCTACACACCCCCCCCCCAGCATTTTAAACCTTCCATCAGCAAATACATTGTTTACAGAAGTGGAGGCAAGATACTGGAGACCTGAATGGAAAAAACTACAGTCTTTTGAAGTCATTACTGGCAAGCTAGTGAAGGAATGAGCTGCTTGCAAGCTCTACCATCGGTGGTACTTGAATTAAGCATGCAGTCTTTGGAAGTACTTGATGACATTTATTATTCAGTTGTTCTTTTGTTTTCATAATGTTCAGTTGAGGCCTAAGAAAACTGCAGCCTTAATGGAGAAGAACCCAGGTCCTGTTTTGTGAGATCCTGTGCTGTTTGTAGTTGTCATGCTGTTCAATTTTTAGAGTGCATAAGGTTCTTCATGCCCTTCTAGGATGGTTTGGTAATCTGCATTGCAATTAACCTTTCATACACTGATTTTTAGGTCTTTAGAGTAAGTTCTCTTGTGGGGATTTGCCACTCTGGCAGCTGCTATAAATCCTGAAGCGTGCTGCTGTACAGCATACACTGCTTTATCTCCTGTGAAGATGTGGGTCATGGGTTGTGCTTTGCTCTGAAGAGGTGAGTGAAGTGCCTTTGTAATGGATGTTAACTCCAATATCTGAAAGACTTTAAATGTGGTGTGGACCAACTTTGTACCTCTTGAGATTGATTGTACAATGGGAGAGCTTATTTTTGTGGTAGGTATTATGAGTATAGCTGGTGCACGGTGACTTCTGTCATGACGATGTCGTGTGCCACTGTCCTATATGGTAAGCTGAGGTGTTTGTTACTGGCTTTCTTCATTAGTTTTGAGGTTATGTTGCATGTGACTTGCCACTGCTGGTAGTAGCTGCTGTTTTACTTTCAGTTGGAATCTAATTCACTTGTTCGGGTGGATTATGAGCTGGAAGGTTATCTGGAAAGATTTAGTTGGGATTGGTCATGTTGATAGTGTTTTTCAGAGTGTAACATCACTGAACAGTTCACACTTGACTGTAAATGTCAAGTCTTATTCCGTCTGAAACAGTTTTGCTTGGTTAATATCTGAGTAGCAGAAATGGTTGGTTTGAGTTCAAAAGCTAAAGGGAAATAAAAAGCATCATGAGTACTTGAAACTTTCTGGTTTCCGTTTTGTCTAAGAGTATAACGTAATACACATGAAGTTCTGGCCCACTCCCAATGATGGGCATGGCTGCCTTGCTCCTGCCTCAAGAATGGCAGGGTTGACATGCTGAACAGAGTTTTGGTGTCTGGGTAATGCAACATCTGGAGCCTGTACTGTAGCAAGCACTTGAGATTAATCCTTCAGGCTTCTCAAGCCTATTGAAAGCAGCTAACATCTTGAAACAAGAGTGTTGTGGTTTGCCTATTACAAGATGTGGCTGTGTTCTGTGTCTTAAAAAAGAAAGCAATCCAAGGAGGCAGTTTGGGTATTTGCATGTGATTCTGGTCTTGTCAATACGCAGGTAGAAATATCTTCTTATATAATGTGGTGCACAAAATGAATGCTTTAACTTCAGTTTTGTTATCGAAGTGTACTGACAA